GTCGGCGCTCATTGGATGCGACAGGTGATCAACTTCGACAAGCTGAAGATCACCAACAACCAAATGGACACCAACGGATACGTAAGTGGCATCACAACACATAAGAATGTAAGCAAAAGGTAGGGCATCAGTTCGGTGACCCTTCGCCACGGCTGGGTCGAGGGCCGTTGGCCGAGCAGAGAAAGCACTGACCACTGGTCAAATGAGACGGCATCGGTGCGAGTGGTGCTTCGTCGGGAGGATGGCGACGACGACGACTTTTTAACCACTGACTCGAAAGTGAGGCTACTAGTCGCTCAGCGGCTCGGGCGCGGTTTTTTCCGGGAGGGAATGCGTAAAAAGGCACATTCCTCACCACTGCGCCTGACACTCCGTCATTTCTTATTGGCTCCGACTTCGACAGCAATATCGCGTTCATCGACGTTGACAAATCGCCGTCATAACTCTGGGACGATCCTTGTGATCGTTCCGGCTGCCGGCACGGGCAGTGAGCATCGCTTGCACTTAGCACCGCCGATAATTACCGGAAGTGCCACTGGGCTATCGCCAATCGTGTTTGCCAAGGTAGCAGTTCTACTGAATCACGTGTCTGCCGCCTACAGTACATGAGGACATGTTTCCGCTGAAATGCGGTTTGTGTCCCGTGAATAGTCGACAGTACTCAACCATGATTATGCGGAAAACGGGAAACCGGGGTTCCAGATTACTGTGAATTCATTGGCATTCCTTGCTTACAAGATATGATTCGTTACACCAGTCTAGAATTAAAACCTCTGCGCCAATAAATGTACAGAATTGCCGTCATTCTTTCGTACTCCAGAATGATCTTCTTCTTAGGAGTAGGGTAGAAAGGACCGCAGACGAAGAAACTCACTTCATTCGTTCCATTGGAACCGCTGATACGATATAATATTCATCCGTCAATCATTCAAGATTATTCTCGATTACATTACAATATATAACTGGAGAAAAAACCGATTTCTTCATCGATACGCTGCAGCAGGATTTCCCAGCAGTGTCATGCATGTTGTGATATTCATTCCAGACCCTGAAGCGCTAAAGTGTCGCTTAATCTCTTATGTTCTTACTGTGCCTTAGGCTATGCGCTAGGTGCGGCTGACGTTTCCAACTTGACCCTCATCGCTGGTACAATTTATCAATGTTTGATAATGATAACCTCTAATCCGAAGATTACACCCCGGGACCGTATCTCAAACCCCATCCAATGGTCAGGCAATGAAAATGAATCAAATGTATTGACTTTAGTGATTTGAGTTCCTACGCCATGTACTCTAAAAATCGCTAAATATGCCTAAACAGAAAGAGGGATTGACTGTACTATGACATGAGCAAAACGTACAGAAGTTCACAGGTACTTAGATGCCTGTGTTTCTGCGTTTCTATGGAGAGTACAATTTGTGGCACCCTTTCCTCATTCAGCTTACTCAGTGCCGTTGACCTCTTTGCCAGAGGCACTTCGCAATATGTGCAATGAGTAACGATGTTCAGCATGAAAATGAGCGAAGTGAGGAAATGAATAGGAAAATGCTTAACATCTGAAAAGTCGGTCTGGCCTTACCTGGGCTTTTTTATGAGTTCCGTATGAAGTCTTTAACGATACTTATAGTGCAGAACGCCGCATTATTGCCGCCACTCTGTGCCTTATTCATGAAGACATTATTTACAGCCATGTAGAATACCCTATAGCGTACGTACTCTGTTTCACGTCTACAAAAGGACACTCGACTGTCGATGTTGCAGGGTCTAAAGGCAGGCGACCTTTCCAGATATCAAATTCGTAACCTACCGACTGCCATTTTGACACTCTCTCCAATGAATTGAGTTTGCAAGTTACGCTTTACTACATTGAGTGACAGATGTATGAGGCACAAGAAACAATCATTCTGTACTTTCGGCAAATAAGGCTAGCAAAGCATTAGCATAAGAGTTCCAGAAACTTATTGTTTGATGTTTGAAATGGTTTTTCAGATTTCCATTAGGCACTGTTTGCTGCCAAGGGTAAGGTCCTGTTGCTCACTTCAAGCAGGTCTGCTGCAACAAGGTGTTTACAGGTGC